AAAAAAAAAAAAAAAAAAAGATTGCTTAGAAATAAAGACAAAACTCTGCTAAGTTTCTGCAGCCACTTTACAAATTGATTAACTCATTGGCTGGTGGGATGAGAGCAGCTCTTAATTATGTGATTGTATAGTGCCTTCTCAAACTTGAACTCCACAGACCCTACAATTCATCTGGAAATGTTGTTAAAATGCAGTTTCTGATTTGGTAGGCCTCAGGTGGAGCCTGAGGTTTTGCATTTCTAAGAAGCTTGCAGGGGACACCAACTCTGCCTGCCTGCAGACCACATTCTGAGTAGCAAGGGCCTAGTACAATATTTGAATCATTGAAAGGCTGCCTTTCTTCACTTTGGCTTAATACAGGCCACATGTGTTTTCTAAATAAAACTGTAAGCCTTAACTGACGGAAGATATTCATTACAGCTTTAATTTGTGCCTATTTCAAACAGAATATGAAAACATTTTTTTCTTTCTTGTGCTACAAACTTTTCTCATTAATATTCATATGATATTTTAAGCCTCTAAAATTAGAAGCTTTGAGAGGAGATGGTGAACTTAACTGCATAACATTGTGGGGGGTCTGTTGTTTGTTTTATAAGGAGAAAGTTTGTATATTTACCATAGTCGTCAGGACGGAGACAAGCTCCAAATGTGTGGTCTGGGGGGACATTCATTGTTTCTGCAATGCTATCAAAGAAAACAAATCCTTTAGTTAAAATACCCACCGCATGGCATCCCTGGAATTTTAGATATGTTTGCCATGTGTTTTTAATAGCCCATATTTTCCCTTATAGCCCAACTATGAAGATCAAACAGAAGGTCTCCAGCAGATTTTTTCTCTCACCTCCCACTTGCATTAACAATGGCTGGATGCTTCCCCTGTCTTTCAATAGCCTGGATTTAAAAGGGAAAAAAAACAGGACATATTCAAAGCAGAATTATGGAAGTAGAGAGAGAGAGACAGAGACAGAGACAGAGACAGGGAAGAGAGAGGAAAATGTAACAGAATAAGTTAAAGTTCTGATATCCCAGAAATAAAGCTTTACACGAAATTCTCCCTCCCTCTTCTCTAAATGCCCTCTCTATCTTGGAGAACTCAGCACTTTCCTGGAACCCCATGCTCTAAGGAAGCTGATAGAGTTCCCTGATAAACACACAAGGATGACCTTCTTATTTAATAGACAGAAACTAATAGAGCACAAACCAACATTTACCACAAGAGTACTTTTTAAATTCAATCCACAGACACTGTCAATTTGAAGTTAATAATTAACTTACGGATCTAAGACTCTTCCAAGTTTATGCTGAAACTTTTCTTTGAAATCATCAACTCTCTTGGATACAAACTTAGCTCCTCTTTTCCTAAAAAATTAGAAAATTGTCAGGTATCTCCACCACCTAAAGTATTCCTGGCTGCCAAATATATACATGGTAAGGGAAATCATAGTATAATTTGAGCCATCAGAAAAATAAGCCCAGTTTCCAAAGAAATTATATGCTAAAAGGAAAGCTCCATGCTCATTCTTCTGTCATTTATTTTCTATTATGAAGGCAAGTTTAAAGGTAAATTTATAATAGAATATAAAATTTTAATGAAAGAATAAGACACGCAGTCACAGTTTTTTTCAGTTAACAAAACCAAAGTGTTAATGTTATTACATATATAACTTCCCTAATTGCTAAAAGAAAATTAAGCACTGCATAAACGAATAAATAAAAGATATAAACAGATAACTCACATCTAGTAAGCAAATATATGGAGAAATTATAATACTGTCTAGTAATGAAAGGATGTAAAATAAAAACAACAAAATGCTACTTTTAACATAGTACATAGTACATAGTAAATGTGTGTGTGTATATATATATAATTTGCTAGTGCAAATTACTATAATCCTTTTGGAAATAATTTGGTAATATGATTCGAAAGCATAAAAATGTTCATTCCCTTTTATCTACATCTGGGAACCAATCCTAAGAAGATAATCCACATAACAAAAATGTAAAAAAGTTATATTTATAAAAATGTTTGTAGCCTCATTGACTATAATGAAAAGAAGAAAGGAATCTAAATGTTCCCTCATGAAGGGTGATTATGTCACATTAACAAAAATACACTTAATGCAATTTAAATGTTGGTTAAGAATATACAGCAATATAAAGTCATTTGAAGTTTAGTGAAAAAGAATAAATAATGGGATTGCACTCTGATTAAACCTATGCAAAAATCTACACAGGAAGCTACACCAGAGAAAAATACATTAAAAAGATAATAATGGTTGAATTAAAGTGACAAAATTATGGGTGATTTTATTTTGCCAATTTTCTGTAATATGTTACTTCATTGTGATTAAATGAATAAAATTTCTTTTTAAATAAGATTTCTTTTAAGAACTGTGAAATTACAACCCTACTATTTAAAAACATTAAAATTAATAAATTCTCTATTGTTTTGCTAAGACTGAAAACAATGAACATAAAATTCTTAAACTTCATTTTCTTTTAAAACTATTTTCTGTGCTCTAGAAATATCGAGCTGAGTAAATCTCTGGAGAGGAGTGACACTCTGCGGAGTAACAAAAGATGAAATATAAAGTAATCCACTGCTTATTTCTTCCTTGATTTGCGTTAGTTCACAAAGCAAGGAAAAAAAGAATACAGGTACAGTCGGAATAAATCAGTGGCGTTTCAAAGGTCATAATTTGAACAAATAAAATCGACAATCTAAAAACCAGCTCCAGGAGACATAATTAGGAACATGGAAGAATGGTAAGGGTTAGGTTGTAAATCCCGGAGTCTACTCTTTTCAGTCTAATTGTGCCTGGACTGTTTCTGGGAGAATCAGGAAGTGTCTGTGAGTAGCCGTGTATGTCAGAATATCAATAATTGTAACATCATTACACGACCTCACAGCATTTGCTAACCAACTCAGAAGAAAGTGCTCTGTGTACCAGTGAATTTTTTTCATCCAGACACACACGTACACACACATACACACACCCCCCTATTGTTTGACAATCCTGATTCTTCAAATCAAACGTCATAAACAGAACACAGATAAGTAGTTTTACAGAGGCAATATATCCCTTAAAAGTTAAGAGTAAACCAAATTTATGTTAAAATAGTACATATAAAATTCAGATGCCTTAAAGTGTAAACAAACATGCTTAACTCCAAGTTTATAATAGAAATCACAGTGAAAAAGTAGTGTTATTTTTTTAAATCCCACAAACTGGAAGAATAAACATTCTATTGTTTTAGCAATAATTTTCCAAATCAGTTTCAAAATATAAAAAGTATGATTAAATAAAACATAGTTCCATAAACAATGTTTCCTCTGGGGAAGAGACAAGTTGGAGAGAAACCTACCCTGCATATTGCCAGCTTTTATAAATTCAGTGGTTTTTTTAAATATGTCTTTATTGATTTCAGAGAGAGAAAGGGAGAGGGAGAGATAGAAACGTCAATGATGAGAGTCACTGATCAGAGCCTCCTGCACGCCCCCTACTGGGGATCGAGCCCGAAACCTGGGTACGTGCCCTGACCAGGAATCGAACCTTGTTCTCCTGGATCACAGGTCGATGCTTAACCACTGAGCCATGTCAGCCAGGCTAATTCAATGTATTTTTTTATTGAGATATAATTAGTATATAACATTGCACTAGTTTTTGGAGTACTCAGTGTATTTATCCATGACTATCCCAAATCATTAATAAATATGTTCTTATTAATGACTCAAAGGCTCTGCTCTTAGGACATTCTTAAGGACCACATTGTTGTTAATGTGTTTATTTCACATATTCTATAAATTGACAGGTTTATATCTCTAAGCTTTCATAAGTGAATAAACCATATTTGTCATCTCCCTTTAACTATCAATTTCTATGTCATATTTAATTATAGATATCTATAGTCTTTAAACATTTAAATCATTTCTTCATGGTTTCCTTTATGTATGATTTAACCATCTTAATAATGATAAATTAATGAATATTTATATAAGTTTTTTTCCTATACCCAAAAGAAACTTTTCATATGGGTTTGCTATAGTACTGTAAGAATTTATTTTGTGTTTGTATTTTACCATTATTGTTTTGAATAATTCGAGTATCAGAAACTCACATATTTAAGGAGTGGAAAAGGAATGGAAATCACTATTTCAGGTCTGTGAGCACAGAATCAAGTGCCTATAAACCTGGGGTAGTGGTTAAGGGCAGCCTCTGGAGCCACACTGCCTGGGTTTCATTCCGACCCCTAGTATTTCTTAGCTACATGATGTTAGGCAAATGACTTCATTTCTCTGTATCTCAGTTTCTTCATCTGTAAAATGGGAAAAAATTAAAATTATAGTACACCTGCCCGGCCGGGCGTGGCTCAGTGGTTAAGCGTCGACCTAGGATCCAGGCGATCAGGGTTCGATTCCCGGCCAGGGCACATGCCCGGATTGCGGGCTGCAGCCGATCAATGACTCTCTCATCATTGATGTTTCCATCTCTCTCTCCCTCTCCTTTCCTCTCTCTGAAATCAATAAAGATATTTTTTTTAAAAAATAAATAATTATAGTACACCTAACCCATGGAGTTGTTGCTAGGATTAAATTAATAATATATATTAGCACTTTGACTCTATAACTGGGAGCTGCTGTGATCACAGAGAACAGGACTAGAAACTGAGTGAGGCAGGTTGGGCCCCAATTTGTGGGAATGCAACTTTGAGTCCACACTGGAGCCCGGAACCTTGTAGGAACAGTGTCTCCTTTAAAGAAGGCAGAGGGTAAAACAAATCTACCCCCATCACTGATGTGTAGAAGTGGGGGCCCAATATATTCGTTTCCTGTGGTTGCTATAAAAAACTGCTACAAATTGGTGGCTTAAAACAACAGAAGTGTATCCTCTCAGCATTCTGAAGGCCAGAAGTCTGAAATCGAGGTGTCAGAAAAACCACATTCCCTCCAAAGGTTTAGGGGGAGAACCTGTTCATTGCTTCTTCAAATATGGGAGGCTGCTGGCATTCTTTGGCCTTCCTTGGCTTCAGGCCACACCACTCCAATCTCCTCCGCCACGTTCACTTCACCTTCTCCTCTGTGTGTCTTCTCTTCTGTCTCAAATCTCCCTTGGCCCTTCCCTTATAAGGACACTTGTCATTGGATTCAAGGCCCATCCAGATAACCCAAAATGATCTCTCTCTTCATTGCAAGATCCTTAATTTAATTACATATACAAAGACCCTTTTCCTACATAAGGTAACATTTATAGGTTCTGGGAACAGTCTAGACATATAATTTCAACCTACTAGACCATTATCTCCAATCTTCTAATATTTTAAACATAGTAGAAAATATGAATTTTTATGAGTAATCTCCCACTGTTTAAGTGTTAGCTTAGATATAAAATATAACACAGGTAATGATAAGGAAGCTTATTTTGGTTTTCTAAGGAGGTAGTCATATATAGAATGAAGGTGTAAAAAGATCACAGTTTACAAGAATTAAGTCACTTTGGGACAGCATGGATGGAACTGGAGAGTATTATGCTAAGTGAAATAAGCCAGTCAGAGAAAGACAAGTATCACACGATCTCATTCATATGTGGAATATTATGAACAAAATAAACCAATGAAGAATTAAGTCAGATGCTCAGGTGTCCAAATAACTATTAAACAAAGCTGAGTGATAAATGACAGGTCAGTTATATGCGACATGATTGTCTTTGTAGAGATTTGAAAGCCCATCTTTAAGATACATCAATAGGGGTGATCCTACGGATTAAAAACATTCATACATGTCTTTATATTTTCTTGTAAAGGCACAAAGTAACTTTAGAATGATACATACTAACACACATGCACACACACACACACACAAATTACCATAACTTTGGGGGAAATGGTCAGTTTGGAAGATACATCACTGTACATCTTTTTCTAAATTTTATGTTTGAAACATGTCATTGTATTTCCTCTTTAAAAAATAAATCAGCCCTGGTAGCTCAGTTGATTAGAGTGTTGTCCTGATACACGAAGGTTGTGGGTTTGATCCTTGGTCAGGGCACAAACAAAAAGCAACCAATGGCCCTGGCTGGTTTGGTTCAGTGGTTAGAGCACTGGGCTGCAGGTTGATGTGTCTCTTTCATATTGATGTTTTTCTGTCTCTCTCCCTTCCACTCTCTCTGAAAAGCAATGGAAAGGGTATTGCTTTTAATCCTCAGGTGAGGATTAAAAAAAAAAAAGCAGCAACCAATGAATGTATAAATAAGTGGAACAACAAATCAATGTTTCTCTCTCTCTTTTCCTTCATTTCTAAAATCAATCAAAAAATTTAAATAAATCAATCAAAAAATAAACTTTTCTTTAAGTTCAGTCCATATGTCATATATCTAAAACTTGTCCCAGGATACAATATAATTAAACTTACATTTGCAGTTCATGAAGCCAATACAGAGTTTTCGCCATGGTTCGTCCATCATTAAAATGTGATGTTGGGACCCCATACAGGTCAAACCTATGGAAATTTGAGGGGTTATACTTTCGGTTCTTTGCTTCTCCTGTGAAAAGAAAGGGGAGACTTCTGACTTCTGCCACACAACCTAATTTTGAAGGAAGCACATTATGTTCTCATTGACATTGAAAATGAGAGTAGAACAAAGAATGACACTGTAACAGTGCAGGGACCTGCACAGACTTGGCAACAGATGACAGAAGCATTCTCCCATGTGAGGCAGGAGACTGGTCGGACAAGAGTTCCTTGTGCTAATAGTTGGAAAGTAAGTAGGGAAATGATGTAGGAGAAAGACATATTAATGATGAAAAATGAAGGCCCAATTAACATTACAGAAATCCTAAAGATCAGGGAGGTACGGCGATGCTTTGGGACCCCAGCAGTCCTTTCCACGATGCTAAGGTCTGAGAGGTAGGTGCTTTGTCCTCGCTTTCACTAAGATTTGGTGACGTCATCAGGACACTGCAACCCTCACATTTCATTAAAATCACTTATCTCACATTAGAAACGTTCAAAGGGTGATTGAGAGCTGAGCACACAACAGAGAGGTCTTTATATTTAAGACCTAATACTGTGGTTTTTTTCTTTTCAAGTCACAACGTGGCATTAGTTTTCTATTTCTAGATAAGAAAGACTGAAACTAGAGATCAGCTCAAAGGTTAAAATATAATAGAGAGAATATATTCAGCCTCACTAGTAACCCAAATAATGTAAGTATGAAGATTGGCAAACTCATTACAGGGGAAGTGAAAATTCTCTCATATGCTGTGGGTGTGAGGGCAGACTGGGGAAGCTATTCGGGTGGACAGTTAGGCCCTAAGATTGAAAATTCCAAATGCTCAGAAATATAGGAATGTATCCTAAGGAAATAGATCATATTCACAAAAATATATAAACAAAATTTTTTTATTATTGAAAAATGCAATATTGATACTGCCATGAAAAAATAGTCAAGATATTTCATACAATGGGGGGGAAGCAAATAGGAAAAAAAGTATATACAGTGGGGAGCAAAACACATATACACATATATGAGTGAGCAAAGAAAAACATCTATGAGAGTATCATCTGTGGGAGACTGGGAATTGTGGGAGATTTTCATTGTATTTTATATATTTCTCTGTGGCTTGCATTTTATAAAAGAAATACCTATTACTTTAGTAATGATTAAAATTAAGTGCATTTAAAAGAAGTTGTAGATATGTATTTATTGTTATTAAATAGTGTCCTTGACATATTAAATAAAAGAAAATTTTAAGGTATATAGCAGGTTCCCCAAAAGCATGGAAGATGTGATCGCATTTAACTAAAGCTAGCTCGGTGGGTAGTGGGTTAGAAAGATGTTTACTATATCAACTGCAGTTATCTCTGGTGAAAGACATTTGAAGGTTACATTTGCTTTTCCTTCATTTTTTTAATATTTAAATTCTGCACAATATTATGTATTTTTATAATAAAAAATGGAAGTACTTTCATTATGAGAAAAAAATAAGACATTTAAAAGATTGGATTTCATGATTTTTCAAAGGCTAATAAAACTTCTGTAAAAATCAGCAAACGAAGTTAATTTCTGTCATGTTATAGTCCATTAGAGCTCTTCAAAATGTTTTTTAAATCTACACTCATTTACCTCCAATTGCCAAATGCATATAAGACATCTCGTAAGTTGTCTACACATATTCATTCATATAGGCCTTTTTAAGACAACTAAAAGGCATTGGATTAGATCGTGCGATAGGTACTAAACTTTCCCCCCAAAATGAACAAAACATTTTCACAAGAGAGGGAGTGAAGGAGAAAAAAAAGGAAGGGAGGACTAGAGGGAAGAGAGGGAGGGAGTCAGAAAGTCGAGGGGGTGGAGATATGAAGAGATGTGGAGGCTATGAGAAGGATGTGGTGACCAGGTGGGTGGAAGGAGTGGCGGTCGCAAAGGGAGGGAAGAGACAATCTCAGGACTGGGAGCATGTTACAGAGTGTAGGGAGCCAGCAGAGACTGGTCGTGAAAGAACAGAATGGCAGATTTCTGACAGTGGGCAGAGGAGACAAGTCCCAACTATGAGCAAAAGTTTAGAAGGAAGAGCTTAAAGAGGAAGTGCAATGGGAGGGGGGGAGTAAAGAACTACAGGAGGTGCCAGGGAGAGAGGTGCATTGAGCTGCATTCAAGGGAGAGCCTTGCTTCCAGCTAATGGAGGTTGAGTTCATGAATCATTCACAATTCAGCACCTTTCTCAGGACATATATCAGTGTCTAAATCTCAACCCTCTATTATATCAAGATGCTACTTAACATCAACACATCAACGACTAAGTCGTGTTTTATAGCACTATACACATCTAATGCCCTTTAGCTATGCCATAGAGTAATTCTAGTAATAGGCTACTATTAATTAAGATGACTTAATACTAATAATAATCGCTATTGAGCTCTTACCATATTCCAGGCACTATGCTAAGCATTTTGCAAGCACTCACTTAATCCTCATAATATTATTATCCTCATTTAAGAGGCTAGAATAGATGTTAATAGGACAAGTAAAATAGTCAAGGTCTAAAAGATGAGCTAGAATTTGAACCTGATATATCTGATTCAAAAGTTGTTCACTTAAACCATTACCCAATCAATATTCCTCATATAAAGCTAAGCACTTTGAATAATTCTGACATATGAAAAAGAACAGTACTTTTAAAGCCTAAAACCACTAAAACAAAATAACACTAACATTTAATCTCTCTTACCTGTGTTTTTCATTTTAATGATACATATAGCTCTACATTTTATGTGCAAAATGTATAAGAGTACACGCATGCCCAGCTACCAGGATTTATGACCTTACTAAAAAATGTTATTTATCGATCGCCCATTCTATGACAGGCACTTAACCTTATGCACATGATCTCTTTCACTTCTCCTTAACAAATCTGAGAGGCCCACGTCACCGGACCTATTTTACACTGGAAGACACTTACCCGCATAATAATCATTATGAGAAACAAGATACAGATTGTGTCCCTCCTCTGCTTCGCCAAGCACTTCTTGATAGGATTTCGGTGGATTCACCACATCTCTGGCAGATATTTCTAAAGAAAGAATTAACCACACCAGTTTTAAGATATTTTTGTCTATTTATAATATATTTAAATTAAGTAGAAAAAAATGACAAACAAGGTCAGCTGAATGCATAAGCTATATGGCCACCCTAGGAGAACATGAAGCCAATACACTATAAGGGAAGATTTATCAAGACAGACAGGACACAGCGCAGATGTTACTATTCCAGGGACTCTCGTTTGACCTGGCTCACTCCCTAGAATTCTAAAGAACATCAGAACTCTGTATCACTTAACCGTTTAGGTTGTCCTGAGGCATATTCCAAGTCCGGTTAAATTCCCAATTCTGAGAATCTCTAGACAAATTTGATTTTTAGTTTGATCTAGACTTGTCATGATGATCTAAGCAAATTTGAATCACAAATCAGTTTCAGTAACCCTGATGCCCTGTGGGGGAGCCTTGGTGCACATTTTGGCAGCTGTTTGGCAGCACTGGAGCACACACCCTGAGTCTGTTTTGAACTGAATATCCATCTTCAGAGCAGCCAAAAGTACCAGGGAAATTGCTGGAATCAGAAAGAAATTATTCTTTCTACTGTTCCCAAACCTAGAGCTATAACAAGTTTGTTTAGCAGCTGTTTTCTCAGGACTGGTTGCCCACGGTTTTGTACATAGAGAATTATTTTATTTTCATTGTTTTACATAATGATTTTTAAATATAATTCCACTTACAATTTCACTCTTTCAACCTAACAACATAGATTAATAATAGATAATATAATGATATAGAACATAATTATAATAAATGCATCTATTATATAGTAACTAAATATCTAATAATTGATATATTTATTATAGATTAAATACAAAATAATTAATATTACACTATAATGATTATAAAATATAATTCCATTTATAATTTCATTCTTCCCTTTCAACCTAACAATATTTTCTTCCCTTTGGACTTTCCACCAGAATTGAGGTCTGTAAACAAACAGTTAAGAATACCAGAAGTGGTCCTACTCAAAATAATCCTGTAAAGCAGTACTTCTTTCTGATAGATGAATCACTATATGTATTAATACACATATACACATCTTGGAACATCTTTCTGTTATATATTTAAGTAAGGTGCACCTAGACAGTACTTTGCTTATTAAATGAGCTAGTCCTAGACAGCAGTGATGATATCATTACTGTAATGCTGTAATGCCATAAATACAATGTTTAATTCTATTATAAAGAAAAAGGATATTTCATCTGCTCTAAAATACATTTTCTGTGTTGCAAATTTTAAATTAAGATCTGCTACAATAAAGTACAACCGCATAGTTTGCATTCCAAGAGACGGGCATAATTTATCTCCAGGGTGGATGTTACTATGTTAAGGAAAATAATTTAATGGACTTTTTTGGTGAAGAAAGTCCTGGAGCAGAGCCTTAACGAGAGCAGAAAGACAAAGAAAACCGAATTTCTCTGAAGGGTAAAGATGGAATTTGAGGTCTCCTGTAAGACCCCGGAGACAGGATAGAGACCTGAAAAGGACAGTGGAAGATAAATGTGAGAAATGTGTAAAGAAAGACACCCAACAACATGGCAGGAGCCTGGGGCTTCAAAACAAATAATGGCCTGTGACCAATTCAATTATATGTTGTTGTTCGTTGAAAGATGTGTTCCACTCCCTCTCAAAATGAGAGGGCAAGTCTGCTCTGTATCCTGCCTACATTTGTTAGTACATGGGTAGACACTGTGGATCTGCATGCGAGGAGGGAGGTGTGCAGCATTTACCAAGCTTATTTGTTCCGTGGTCTATTTTATGTAAGAGTTTCATAAAGAGTTAAGCATTATGAACACATTGGGAGGCATTGGTGGAAATAAAACCCACAAATAAATGTCTAGGGCGAAGGGATTGCAGCCCTCACAGCTGGTCCCAATGTCAACTTTCCTGATTCTCTTTCTTGCTTTTCTTTTTTAAAAGTTTATTGATTTTTTGAGAGAGAGAGAAAGAGAGACATCAATTTGTTGTTCCATTTATTTATGCATTCATTGGTTGCTTCTTGTATGTGCTCTGACTGGAGATTGAACCCACAACCTTGGTACATTGGGATGACACTCTAACAAACTGAACTACCTGGTCAGGGTTCTCTTTCCTGTCTTTATATCATCTCCACTATGCTCACTGAATCTCCACTTCAAAACCTGAATTTCTACTGCCTAGCACACATAAACTCTAAGGATTCTGGGTCTAAAGGTAACTTTGTTGCTATGATCCCATCTTTCATTCTTCATTCATCATTGGCACCACCACCACCAGACATCATACCAATGGGATATTTAATCCAGTTTTCTAAGAATTATTTTACCACCCCTCCTATCCCTTATTTTTTTACTACCTCTGATGACTGGAGTCCCAAATGTCGTCTTTAGTACATCCAGGCCTTTAGGCAGTCCCGGCGACTGATCGTGAGACTTTCCTAACGGTGCTCGTTGATTACTAAAATATACTGATTCCTTTTTATCTTTAATTTTCTGTTGAAATGTTGTAATAGGCTCTGGGTTTATCAATACCTTTGCCTAAAGAAACCATACAAAGCACAGATGTAAGAACAAAAAGAAGTAAAAATCTGAAAGCTGACGTTCTAATCAATAGCTGGAGAGAAGAAAATATGACTGTAGAAAAATAACTCCTCATCATTGCTTTGCTCACCTTCAAACTGTCACAATTGGGGCTATGAAGCTTAAACATGCCTAAACATGAACTTTCAAGGGGGTTAAAAGGTTTCAATGGGGTTACAAGATTAATGAGAGGAGCTCCCAGGTTACTTGGCTCCAATATTCCAGAAAAATGGGAATGACAAGCAAAAGAAATACATGTCTTCCACAAATGTTCTTCTGAATCTAGATTATTCATTCAGTGAATAGCAAGGAACATTCAGGCCCCACCTGTGATATTGAGGCAATAAACATCCAGTGTTTCTTGTTCCCTAACAAAGCCTGACAGCATTTCTCATTACTTTTAGAATATGGGGTGCAACTGGGCTTTTATTATCTGAGGAGAGAATATCTAGTTTGTGGCTTAAACCATTAATTTCTTTTGGCAGCCACTCCTTGGGATTTTTTTTTTTTTTCCAAACTATAAGAGAAAGTTTAGAAAGTCATAGAAGAAGCAGCGAGCCATAGAAGAAATGGGCTCAGGAAACAAGTTAAAGAGGCAAAAGACGGCCCTTGGAGCTTGGGAGAGAGAAAGGGAAAGGTAAAGAACCTGGGAGGAAGAAGAGGGAAAGGAGAAAGACAGGAGAGCCGCAAGACTTTTTCAGTGCTCAAGATTAAGGGTGAAAAGGAGACTGCATTTTTATCTTGGTAAATTAGTAGTCATATAGAGGGAAAAAGAAGTTACCGGTATTGAAATTTTAGATCTTATCCCATGTGTCAAATAAGGTGCAATTTGAGGATCATTCGCTCTGCCATAAAATACTCTTTCGGCTCCAGCAGGTGGATATCTGAAGTTGAAAAATTTTTTTGCCTCGGGTGGAGTAATTAGCTACAAACAGACAAGAAAATAGAATTATTAAGTACAGTTTTTAAAATATTAGGACTAATCTATACCAGCAATTTTCAACCAGTGTGCCACAAGTATTTTTAAAACATGCAACACCTGACTATTTAGTCAGAGGCACTGACCTCTTTTCCCTTAGATTGTCAAATTAAAAAAAAAAAATGACAACAGCCAACACAACAACAGCTGTCGAGTGTGAATCATAATTATACCTATTTTTTGTCAAATCGGCAAAAATATGTTTTTGGTGTGCCACAGGATTTTAATAATGTGTGCCATTGTTATCAGACCCAGAAAAGATGTTATCGGACATCTTTTCAGAGTCAGAAGGAGAGGGCTATCCCTTCCTCAGTTCTTATCAATCTCGTTGGAAAGATTTCAAGTGAGTGACACTGGACATCAACGTTGTAGCAAGCAAATTTATTAGGGCAGCAAGGTAAGCAAATTTATTAAAAATGCACTTGGCATAAAGCACAAGTGGGCACCCAGCTAATCTGAGCACCCTGCCTGGTGGAGCTTTAGGGTTTTATGCTTTTCTGTCTACAGGTTTCAAGGTTCCTCTGCTGGATATCTTGCGCACAGACTAGGTTTCAAGGTCCTCCTTTTACTTTGTTGTTGCTTTCCCAGAATTTCTGAGAACATCTGGTGATTTTATCTTGACAAATCCCAAGACTGCTGACTTCTTTGTTCAGTGAGTAAGATAAAACTGCCCTTTCTCTCCTTCCCCCTTCCCAATCCTGCCTTAACAGGTCCAGGATGATTTAAGCTATATATTCTCTGGTTAGAGAGAAGAGGTATTAACCATTTGTTCTCAAGTGTTCTTGGTTGGGGAAGGGAAGGTCTTGTTGCAAGCTGGCTGCAAGCTGCCCAAACTGTTGGGCCTTATTTAATTTTCTTGTCTCCGTTTCTCTATTCCACTTGCCCTGGCTTACTGGCCTGTCTCACCACAAGATGAAAAAGGTTGAAGATCGCTGATCTATACCAATCAATGAACACCCTTCATTGCATGTGTATAGTAAGCACATGGGGATCTAGAGCTCCAAATAATAAAATTTCCTGAAATTTGTTGTTTTTTTATGGAAATGAACAATTTATTTTAAAAGTTATATTTAGAAAACAACCAGGAAGTATCTAGGTTAGAAAGTATACCATAAATATTTCCTTTTGAAATAAATGGAATCCCCTGTAGGTATTTTATAAAGCTGGAAATCATAGAACTGGAATTTTCACTTCCTTGGACAAAATCAATAGAAGGCCTCAAAATTCAGTCAAGAGTCCAAATCCACATGCAATACATTAAGTGTAAATATCTTTCATAAGGAATGTTGAGAGTTGTCTATCTGCTAATGTTCATACGCAAGGCAAAAATATAAACATAAATGCATATTGAAATGCTCACCCTTGGAAGTTTTTCGGTCAAGCAGGTTGCAACTCTGTATCCAATTGGAATAACCTTCCCTGCCTAAGGAAAGAAAAAAAAAAGCCCCATGGTTGATCATTGTAGGGGAAATGGGGGTGGGGAAGGGGTGAGAAGGTAGGGGGTAACATTTTGAAGAATGAAATTTATTGCAAATTTGGCCTATGCTTCTAGTGCTATAAAAGTTACTTTCAGCTACTTAACACAATTAAGGAAAAAAGTAAGAAAAAATTATAAATCTAAAGCAATCTTGACACATAATACAAACATTAAATGCTAAATATTTATAAACGTATGTTTTTTTATAGTGCTAGCATTGTAATCCAATTACAGGAGCTCTGAGAAAAGCTGGGACTCGGTATTCAGAAATAATCTTGTCAGAGTTCCTATCAGTACAATGGGAACATGGCTGCATTCAGCTAAACTCAAGATAAAATGTTAAGTAATTCTGAGTGTGTGGGGGGGGGA